ACATAAAAGTATTCCTTGAGGTAAATTTGAGCGTTTTGTGTGAAGGTGTGAGTGGGTGTAGCCTGCTATGGTGTCATTTAATGTTTTGTGAGGGGGTGTGGGTGGGTGTAGCTTGTTGTGATGTCATTTAACATTTTGTGTGAGTGTGGGGTGTTGTGTATAGGATAGGTTGTTCCCATACGAAGGAATTGTACATGGGGTGAGCAGGTGGTTGTGGTGAAGTTTGTCATTCAAACCAAGTGTAACCAAGCTGTCGAGGGGGACACTTAAGGGGGCTTGAGGGAGGGAAGGTCTAGTAAACCTTGTGTATAGTGCGTGAAGCAGTGTAGAGACGTGTAGTACAGTATAGTGTAGCATTACTGTATTGGTGAGTAGTAATTGAGTAAACTGATGTGGAGGTAATGATATATGTAAACAGTTGGGGACAGTTTTAAGTACAAGTGGTCTAGTGGTAGATGGAAGTTGCAACTTTAATTTTCATTCCACATAAATAACCACTTTAAACATGTTGCAGGTGACAGCTGATGTACGTGAAGGCCAACGGAGAAGTGACAGAACCTTGAGCAAGATTTAACACCCAGCATGTTACTTCAGCCTCATCAGTTAAGTTACTTGTATATCTTAGCTAGTATGGTCAGCCCATAAACCACTCAACACTGCTCCTACACTGGGCAGTGGAGTGTGTATGTGGGGCTGACTGTGTTTGGGGCCTAATAAGTCTGTGTGTCAGGTCTGGCAGACACTGTTGTCGTTTTGGAGGGCTGTGTGTGTGTGTGTGTTGGAGGGCTGTGTGTGTGTGTGTGTTGGAGGGCTGTGTGTGTGTGTGTGTTGGAGGGCTGTGTGTGTGTGTGTTGGAGGGCTGTGTGTGTGTGTGTTGGAGGGCTGTGTGTGTGTGTGTGTTGGAGGGCTGTGTGTGTGTGTGTGTGTGTGTTGGAGGGCTGTGTGTGTGTGTGTGTGTGTGTGTTGGAGGGCTGTGTGTGTGTGTGTGTGTGTGTTGGAGGGCTGTGTGTGTGTGTGTGTGTGTTGGAGGGCTGTGTGTGTGTGTGTTGGAGGGCTGTGTGTGTGTGTGTTGGAGGGCTGTGTGTGTGTGTGTGTTGGAGGGGCTGTGTGTGTGTGTGTTGGAGGGAGGCTGTGTGTGTGTGTTGGAGGCTGTGTGTGTGTGTGTGTGTGTATGTATGTAATAATAATTAACAGTTTATTGAAAGAGCTTGGCAGCCAGAAGGCTGAAAATATACAGTTACATATTTGGGGAATGGGTTACGAATTACAAATAATATACAAGCAACATAAGTGACACAAATAAGACATATAATAACTTAAGATGGGGATCGAAAACAGGCTACGATTCATTTCAACATAGTGACAGTGTAAGGAGTAGTGTTTACTGGGAGTGAATACACTGATTTATTACAAGTTATTGATAATTTTTACAATGGTTGGGATTGGGCTGTTCTTATAGCGATCAGTTCGTGCACGTATGGGCTGGATGCGGTTGTGGTGTCGAACAGCAATTCTCGGACAAGGGATCTCAGGTGGTAGTAGTGTGTGTGTGTGTTGGAGGCTGTGTGTGTGTGTTGGGGCTGTGTGTGTGTTGGAGGGCTGTGTGTGTGTGGAGGGCTGTGTGTGTTGTTGGAGGAGCTGTGTGTGTGTGTGTGTTGGAGGGCTGTGTGTGTGTGTGTTGGAGGGCTGTGTGTGTTGTAGAGACTTGTGTGTGTTGGAGGGGCTGTGTGTGTGTGTGTGTGTTGGAGGGTTGTGTGTGTGTGTGTGTGTTGGAGGGCTGTGTGTGTGTGTGTGTGTGTGTGTGTTGGAGGGCTGTGGGTGTGTGTGTGTGTTGGAGGGGTGTGTGTGTGTGTTGGAGGGTGTGTGTGTGTGTGTGTTGGAGGTGTGTGTGTGTGTGTGTGTTGGAGGGCTGTGTGTGTGTGTGTGTGTGTTGGGGGCCTGTGTTGGGGGCTGTGTGTGTGTTTTGGGGGTTGTGTGTGTGTGTGTGTGTGTGTGTTTGTTTTGGAGCCTGTGTGTGTGTGTGTTGGTGTGTGTGTATGTTGAAGGGCTGTGTATGTTTGTTGGAGGGCTGTGTGTGTTGTAGGTGTATGTGTTTGTTGGAGGGCTGTGGCGGACTGTGTGTTGGAGGGCTGTGGCGGACTGTGTAGACTAACCGTAGATAGACTGATCTTAGAGTAAATTAATATTAGTTGTAGTGGCAGTATAATACACAGGACTACATGCCTATTAGTTATTAGAGAATATTAGTAGTAGCATAGTAGTAAATATAGCAAGTAAAGCAAGATGTTGTGGGTGCGTTTTAACTAACTTTATTAACCTAACTTAACCAACCTAACTTTGATTAAGACTTAACCAAATGAATATTACATTTTCTAATAAACAGTAAATATGTTAGACATAAACTTATCCCAAAACGTAAATCCAGTTTATTTTATTAACCACCTATATTAACTGATCATGAATTCAGAAAGTTAATTTTGAAGTTAGATAAAATTGAGGCTTGTGTAAATTATTAAAAAGTGATAACTTGTGTACAGTTGGACACAGTTTAAGTACACGTGGTCTAGTGGGAGTTGTATATTTGATGTTTAACCTTCATTGAACATAAATAACAACTTTAAACATGTTGCAGGTGACAGCTGATGTACGTGAAGGCCAACGGAGAAGTGAGAGAACCATGAGCAAGATTTAACACCCAGCATGTTACTTCAGCCTCATCAGTTAAGTTACTTGTATATCTTGGCTAGTATGGTCAGCCCATAAACCACTCAACACTGAGCGTGTTGTGGGACTGAGCGTGTGGTAGGGCCTCTGGAGGACTGTATGTGTGTTGGAGGGCTCTGGAGGACTGTGTGTGTGTTGGAGGGCTCGGTATTATTGCAGTTTCGGCCAGTGCACACCTGACTTTTAACCATCCCCAACCTTCAGATCTCCTTATTGAAGTATTTCCATTGAATCGACCCAAAATTCACAGGATAAACTAATTTCTAAAATACTAGGGTATATTGGACGAAACTGCAATTTCACAAAGGGCTCTGGAGAACTGTGTGGACTGTCTAGATAGACTGAGCTGGGAGTCAAATTAAGATGAGCTGTAGAGATTTGGGAAAGCTTAATTAAGTGCTATAAAAATGTATAGGACTAAATGCCAATTAGTTACAGTATTAGTGAGCATTAGTAGTAGTAAAGTGATTAATAGTAAGTAAAGCTGGTTGTTTGTAGGTGGGTTTTAACTAACAACTTAACTAACCTAATCAGCCAAACTTAGATTAAATGTAACTTATCTAGACTGACCCAAATTAATATTGTCACCTATTATATAGGTTTATATATTGGATAACAAATATATTAAAGAACTTAACTTCAAATTTGCCCCAAGTTAACTGATCATGAATTCAGAAAGTTAAACTAGAACAAATTTCACTTGTTTAGATTATTAAAAATCAATAGCTTGCATACTTTGCAGTTTCCTTTTCAAAATCTAATCGTGCACTGTACTGAATTTCTCCTCAGGTTAAGCTGGCCAGAAGTAACATCATACTGAACCTAAGGAGAAGCAACTTAAAATGCCAGAACAGGTAAAGTCGACTTAGAGTTTTATTTAGGCAAAGGAAGCTTGTGGGACTTGTGAAATCATTAAACATTGTGTTGGTGTGGCTTGTTGTAATTAGGGTGGGGGGGACAATAAGGCTTGTGTATTGGCATATGGGGTGAGCAGGTGTATACTATAAGTTGGGTGTGTTGGTAAAGTTTTTCATTCAAGCTAAATGTGACCAAGTTGTCAAGGGGAACACAGAAGGGGGCTTGAGGGGTGGGAGGAAGGAAGGGAGGGTTCAGTAAGTGAACTGTGGTAAACTGTGTTGCGTATAAAGCGGTGTGGAGAGATTTAGTAGTGTAGCAGTATTGGTGATGAAGGCTTGTTATGATTGGCTATACTATTGTTGTGGTAAATGTTAGTTGAGGTATTAAGAAAACTAAAACACTAATGCAACTTAAAATAAGATCTTTTGTAGATAAGGTATTAAAGTAAACAATTGGGGACAGTATAAGTACATGTAGTCTGGTGGTAGATGGAAATTGTATGTTTAATCTTCATTGTACATAAATTACAACTTTAAACATGTTACAGGTAACAGCTGACGTACGTGAATGCCAATGTAGAGGAAGTGACCGACACCTTGAGCAAGATGTAACACCCAGCATGTTACTTGAGCCTCCTCAGGTAAGTTACTTATGGATCTTAGTATGGCCATCCCAAAAAACTACTGGAAGTAAGACTCAAGAGGGACTTATTTTGTGTGAAGGGTTGGAAAGGAGGAGCATTGGGCGGTGGAGGGGCGCTCATACATTGGGGAGGCGCTCGTACAGTGCGGAGGGGGGTGCTCGTACCGTGGGGGGGCGCTCGTACAGTGGGCGGGTGCTCGTACAGTGGGGGGCGCTCGTACAGTGGAGGGGAGCTCCTGCATGGCTGGTGGTGTGTTCAAGCAATAGTGAATGGAGTGCATGTTAAAAATGTGATGCAAAAAATAGCATGTACTGTGAAGGCATGTGGGGGATGATGCCTATGAAGACTGCTGCAGCCAAAAAGTGAGGAAGGACAATGCTCCTGTGTAGGTGATACAGGAGGAGTTTGAGTCAACCATGGCTATATCATATATATAATAATGCAAGTTTAGATTCCAAAAAATTCTGGAGTAAATGTTATTGTATTGGTAGTAATAATTGATAGTACTGCATTAGATGGTAAAGATTGATCTAAATACAAATAATCATGTTGCAGGTGGTTGGTGTACAAGATAGATGGACCAGACACAACCAGGCAGCAAGGTGACCACTACTGTCCAGCGTCCCACACCTTGATGACTACCACCTTACTAAGAAAGAACAGAATTGGTGTTCTGTACACTACTGTAAGAACAGTGTAATGTGAAAGTTAAGTATTACTGAAACCTTTTTTTATATAATTTAGCAAAACTTGATATATTACTAAAAATAGTGCATTTAAGAATATACAGTACAAGTTAACCTCAATATGGTGTATTGGTAGTGATATAAAATAGCTTAATTAATTCAGATGTAGAATATCTAAATACAAATAATCATGTTGCAGGTGGTTGGTGTACAAGATAGATGAACCAGACAAAACAGCAAGGTGACCACTACTGTCCAGCATCCCACACCTTGAGGACTACCACCTTACTAAGAACAGAATTGGTGTTCTGTTCACTACTGTAAGAACAGTGTAATGTAAAAGTTAAGTATTACTGAAACCTTTTTTTATATAATTTAGCAAAACTTGATATTACTAAAAATAGTGCATTTAAGAATATACAGTACAAGTTAACCTCAATATGGTGTATTGGTAGTGATATAAAATAGCTTAATTAATTCAGATGTAGAGTATCTAAATACATATAATCATGTTGCAGGAAGTTGGTGTGGAAGATAGATGAACCAGACATGACAAGGTGACCACTACTGTCCAGCGTCCCACACCTTGATGACTACCACCTTACTAAGAACAGAATTGGTGTTCTGTTCACTATAAGAATAGTGTAATGTGAAAGTTAAGTATTACCGAAATATTTTTAGGATTTAGCAAAACTTGAGAAATTATTTAAAGTACTAATGCATTCAAGACTGTATGAGTGAACCTCGATTAATGCCACACAAAGTATTAAAAATAGCAAGATACATTATGTACAGTAGCATCATTAACTATCATGGTAGCCACAGTTTTGCTGTGATTGCCAAAAATTTCCATTTTATAATATATTTTTCGTCCACAGGTGAAGTATCAGCAAGGTATACAACAAGATACACGGACATCAGTCAAACGGATTGCGAGAGGTTTGAATATCTCCCATGGATCCATTTGTTAGTGGTTTGTAATATTAAGTGTAATATGTAATTGTTGTTCAGTGTACCGGGGGAGGCGTTTGTACCAGGGGAGGCGTTTGTACCGGGGGAGGCGTTTGTACCGGGGGGGGCGTTTGTACCGGGGGAGGCGTTTGTACCGGGGGAGGCATTTGTAGTGGTAGAGGCACTTGCACTGGGAGGTGTTTATAAATGGTTTGCACTCCTACGATATCTGTGTATAATAAAATAAATAAATATTGAATAAACTTTACGTTTCATATTCCGAAGTTGAATGATAATGATCTTCTAAATAAACCACAAGTACAGTAGAACTGTAAACTATACCTGAAACATGAACTAAAGTGATCAACTTGGATACACCCACATGATGGCTTCTGGGTAACTTAATGTATATATCATGTCCTATGTATAATTATCACCAACTGACATCAAAGTGACTTTCATTGTATAACTGTTACAAACTAATGCCCATGTGATGCCCAATTGGGTACATGTAATCAAAACTACTAGATACCCACAGATGGCACAAAAAATGCATCCGAGATACAGATGCCTCGGACGCAGGATTTTGATAACCTTACAGAGAGAACGGGCGTCTAGTGTTCATTTTGAAATTCGTCGGCCATGACCATAAAGAACATTTTTGATTGCATACATATTATTAATTTGAAAGTACAGGTATTGTCCATATACAGTAAATGAAAGTAAAGTACAGTAAGAATTTTACTTACTAAATGTTGACAATCTGGACACTGCACAACAATTGCTGAATGGAAGTGTTTTACCTGAAAATAAAAACAAAAATCTTGTAAAATTGTAATAAACAACTTATGGACCCACCCTCCCCCCTAAAGATTTGGTCACTTGGATAAATTTAGAAATATATCTACTGTACCTGGCCAAAATTATTCACAAAGTACAAGACTTCCATTATTATCTAAAGCTAAATTTTGTGTAGGACCAAAACCTGACAAAAGATACTTTATAAAACCTTAAGGTCTAGTGAAATATACGCACCTTATGTGGAGTCTGCAATACAGATGTTTGAGAAATCCACAACAGCTGATAATGTGACGGCCCCACCATCACTGATGTATCTGCAGAGAAATAATAATGGTACTGTAATGTGATTATTTCTCAGGACATGGGAGAAAGATATCTGGTGATGTTGCCAATCATTCCAAGTTTTTTCTGTGCTAATATTTGGTAATGTAGGTGTAAGAGAACATAAGACTGCAGGAATGGCCAGTAAATTAATATATACTGTACCTAGACAATGCAGGTATAAAATGAGGCTATATGACCAAGGATATTTTGCATTTCTGTATCAACTTCTGGACTGTTATTGTATACATATGAAAATAAAAAATATACTGTATATTCAATTCTTTATTTTTTATTACCTATCTACAAAGATATAAAATCATAGTACACAATGTACAGTACATATGTAATTTCTTTTTTCTCTGTTGCTGACAGAAGATATTACCTTTTTTCAGAAGAATTTATATTGTAAGTGTTTGTTAGATGGCAATGGTAGATACAACACTGCAGTAGCCCTCCTCCTTTATCCGGGCTTGGGACCGGCATGTTCGGCTGAACAAGGCGGAGTTACTACTGTGCATTCTACGTCTAACTACGGTGCTGTTAGTACTATCAACTATAACAAAATAAATTTTACCTTTATTACCTCCAAGAAGCACCTTGTAGGTCCACAGTCAGCCACGCCTTCACTTCAGTCAGACGTTCACCTCGGAGGCACACAATCTGAAAGAAATGAGAAAACCTTAGTCCCATCCACATTGGGGAGAGGGTGAGGGAGGAGGGAGGAGGTGCACACCCCACACCTTTCCTATACCCAACACATATCACCTCCTACCCACCCACCAGCCCTCCTCCCTCCACCTCCCTCCTACCCAACCCCCTCCTACACCACCTCCAACTCAACCACGCCATACTCATCTCACTACTTCCCATCCACCCAACCCTTTTGGGTGTGTGTGGATGGGAGGTAGTGTTGTGGATGGAGGATGTGGATGGGGAAGAAGAGGATGTGCATGAGAGGAAGAGGGTGTGGATGGGAGAAGAGAGAGTGGTTAGGAGGAAGTGTGTGTGGTTGGGAAGAAGGGTGTGGTGCGCCATACCCCCTCAGCAATACGTAACCGAATCCAGCTACCGA